CACATTTGATACTCCCTCCGTACCATTTTATGTGATTCACTTTGATTGGACACATAGTTTAAAGAAAGAAAGACATTTGAAGCTAGTCTGAAAAAACTCATAGATATTTGAGCGGCTATAAATCATCGTATTATGGTTAAAATCGAAAGCTTAAAGTTAAATTATTTCTAAATATAAAAAATATCATTCTTTATTGGAGTCGAAAATGGAAAATGCATCACATAAATTGGAATAAGAGGGAGTATTAAAGATGCATTTTTTTGTTTGTTTGGTAGATGTAAAGATACAAATTTAAGTTTCTGATTTGGAATTTGTGATAGTTTTCTTATTCTAAAATTTTAATTTTTCATTCTTAATCATTGATATACCCATCCATTACATTTTCTTAACCGTTAGTATAGTTGTTTGCCAGCTATAAATTGTTTGACACCTCCTTTTAAAAGACAGAGCCAGGCGCCTACACTGCGTTGCTGCTTAAGTGAGGCTAAGTGTCCATGTTGTGCTACACTAGAGTTTAGAGTTTAAACACATCTCCAGCGGTTNTGCCTTTAACAACAGTCGAATCATGTGTCGTGTTGTAACATATAAGAGAGGTCAAAGAAAGCAGTTAAAAACTCAAAACTAGCATCATGGATTCAAGTCATTCTTGATATCTCTTTTCGTAGAATAAAACGTTTGACATATCTTGGACTTGAACTCTATCACTGGAGCATAATTATACTCTTGGGTAATAGCAGGTGANAGTCATCCTATTAGTCTTGAATATAACACTAAATAATGCAGTAAGCCATTCCAAGCCTGCTCTACCCNAAATCATCAATGTCGCAACTTGGAGAAGAGAAGAATAAACAATATAGACATTCCAGAGCCGTGATAGACTTTTCAAAGTTCATACATAATTATTAGATCCTCCTTTACATGGAGGAAGTCACGCACTTTAAAGTGGACAACTAAAGGACAAGATTGAGAATAGACAAAATTTTAATTCTCAACTAATGGGATGATGATTTCTGGTTTATCAGGCAAATCTCCCTCCCTACAGCGGTATCAAACCATACCCCCTATTCTAAGTTGTGGATAATGGTATAAGAAATCACCATATTCTCAAGAACTGAAGGTCTTTGAGAATGCTTAAGTGGTGGTGGGACTCATTTGTAGTCATGGGAAGGCATGATTATATCTTAGCATAGAAGTAAAGTTGTTGAGATAGAATTTAAAAAAGTGGGATTTGAACACTTGGAGGTGCTTCGAGAAGAAGAAGGATCTAAATTTGGAAATTTTGCAGTGTGCAGTCAATGCAAGAGGAAAGGTCTCTATCTCTGACTAATTAAGGTTGGATATTGTCACAATCCAATCTGGGCCTTGACCGACAATCAGATGGTAGGGCTCCAAAGCAAGCTTACTGTAATTCTACCGAAATGTAGACAGTTTTTTCTATTTCTAGGACTATCCATATTTTCTTATCTCGTCTAAAGTTACATACCACAAGTCCGCAACAACACTTATGAAAAGTAATACTTCTCTCAATTTGCTTGACAAGATTTGACTAGTTACATAGCTGAAAAAGTAGGACATTTTGACATAAACTTATGCATATCATTATAAAAGTGGGAATCCCAAAACTAAAAAGTTAAAAGACCTAATTACTCTTCTAAATAATTATTTATTAGAAAGAAGAAACTAATCTTATTTGAAGTGTCTTTTCTAAAAGATTGTGTCCATCTGTTTTTGAAGTTTGGTCTTACCGTTGGATGTTTTTGAAAGTGTCATCTATATGAAGCCAATCATGACAAGATCTTAGCCATTCTTCCTATTGATTCTACCAATTTCTTATTCGTTTTTTTACCAACGTTGAATGTATATAGTATATTGTTACTCCTCTCTCTTTTATATTCTGCTCCATCTTCCAAAAATTTCTAATTCTATTAGGTTGAGTTTTGGTATTAGAAAAAGTCAACTTTAATTTCTTGAGTAGGCATTGTATCTCAGGAATAGAATTTTGTTAAACCATTAGCGGTTATTATAACGGTGACTGAAGTGGAATATAATACTACTAAAGAAACGTCACTTTCTCCTCAGAATTATACTTTGATTGTTCATCTTTGTAGGTTCAAACGATATCCAATCATTTTGATCTCGACAAACAAGTCGGCGACCCACATTGATCATTCATAAAAACTTATGTTATTCTTTTTTGTATGATTATTTACTCGAACCGCACGTGCCGAGAAACTAGTATGTATAAACTACCAAATTCCTTCCGCTATGGTTCAAATGAATCATACCTTATCACAAAAACAAAGAGAGAGAAAAAAAACTAAGGTTTACATAACTCATGCCAACTTCTAGAAAAACATCTCATTAAGGGCAAAGTGAGACATTAAATATTACTTCCTTCATCCCAAATTTATGTGATGTAGTTTAAATTTGAAAGTCAAACTCCTTAATGTTGACTTCAAATTCAGACATAGAATCTTTAACTTTTCTGAAATAAAATTTATATATTTAAAAACTACATAAAAGTACTACAAGTCACATTAATTAACAGTTCAAAATATTTAAAAGACATATAAAAGAATCGCGGTCAACGAAAAACGTGTTTAACTCTGGAAATCCTAATTGCATCACATAAATTGGGACATAAGAGTAGGAGTTTCTAAGCACAAAAAGGTGTCAATTTCTTTTGGGACGTACAAACAAAGTGATGGTGCCAAACAAATTGGGATAAAGGGAGTAATATCCATTACTAACCAAACATATGTAACACAAAATTACTGACGTCATCACAAGTTCACAGCCTTGAACTACAAGAAAATCTAAATAAACTAATAAATATCACGTCAACTGAAATACTCGCGATACTGATTAATGAAGCAACATTGTGAGTTTTAAATGAATGGCAATGACAAATGATAAAGACTCTCCATGTACATGAACAAAATGGGGGCTCACCAATGCTGTCTCTTTCAATAGCTCTTACTGATAAGGTCCTCATCAGCTTCGGCAGTTGTCTCCTGTGAAACAAGAGCTAAAGAGTTCGCTGTCTCAAAATGATAGTAGTAATAGACTAATAGTAATAACAATGATAATAATAATGATTATTATTATTATTATTATTATTATTATTATTATTATTATTATTATTATTATTGCATGCTTTCTCCCTAAGTCCTTGCAAAATTTATCCTTTCACCTTTTTCTTTTTGGGTATAGACGGTTACAAATTGTAGGGACTTTATTTTTCAGTATTGGAGCTAAGCTCACAAGTCCTTTCTTCGTTTTCTTGGTTTTGCAGATACCATGCAATTCATAGAGAAGTTTATAAATGGTTTGATATAAGCTTCGATCAATTTGGACGCACGTCTACTCCACAACAGACGGAAGTTTGTCAGGCGATCTTTAACAAGCTTTGGGAGAATAATTGGCTCTCTGAGAACACTATGCAGCAGGTATATAATTCTTAATAAGTATATCTTCTGGTAGATGCTTGGTTCTGTGCTGCTATTGCCAGGCCTTAAGCTCTTTGGCTTCAAATATCTCATAGATTGAAGTAGCCCGAAACTCAGTTGATGCGTCAAATTTGACATATTTGTTACTCAAGCTAAGTTTATTTCACAGCCGTACTGTGACACATGCAAAAAGTTTTTGGCGGACCGGCTTGTAGAGGGTAACTGCCCGACACCAGGTTGCAACTATGATTCTGCGCGTGGAGATCAATGTGAGAAGTGTGGGAAACTCTTAAATCCCACTGATCTGAAGGATCCAAGATGCAAGGTTTTATTCTCCTCTTTTTCCAGATGTGTATTTCTTAATATTGTATAGTTAAAGTACTTCTCAGTCATCTGGTTATCGAAGAAAGTACTTCTCATCATCTAGTTTCTTTTAAAAAATGAGCATTTTTTGGATAGAAACTTGACTTATTTTTGTCCCTTCGAGCGCAGCCGATGGACTTTGAATGAGACTTGACTTATTTGTGACAGATGCTAAACAACCTTTTATTTGGAAATTTTAAAATACCAAGAACTTCAAGGACATAAAGCATGTTGGATTAACAATACAAGAATGTGATAATGATTTTACTTACTACTGAAGTCTTAACTTGCTTACTCTACAGGTTTGTCGTAACACCCCTTGCATCCGAGATACAGACCATTTGTTCCTTGAGCTCCCTCTGCTAAAGGATAAATTAGAAACTTACGTCAACAACATGTCTGTGGCTGGAGGATGGAGTCAGAATGCTGTCCACACAACAAATGCCTGGCTTAGAGAAGGACTAAAGCAAAGGTGTATAACTAGAGATTTGAAATGGGGGGTTCCAGTTCCACATGAAAAATACAAGGAGAAGGTTGATTGAGCAAAACCGTTAGTTGTAACTGGTTACCCTTCTTTCTGAATATATAACACTTGGTTGTAATGTGTACCTTTACTGATAATTACTCCACTTGCTGTTATCAATTCATGTGTTGGTATAAGTCGAAGCAGCAATTTTTTTTCCTGTTCAATTCCATTTAGATTTTCTTAACAACATTATTTATTGATCTATTGGTAATTAGGTTTTCTACGTGTGGTTCGATGCTCCTATTGGATATGTATCAATAACATCATGCTACACAACGGAGTGGGAGAAGTGGTGGAAGAATCCAGAGAATGTGGAGCTCTATCAGTTTATGGGCAAAGATAACGTGCCTTTTCACACTGTAAGTTCTTGAAAATCCATAAAAGTCTTGATCAAAAAGATAAACTCCATAAAAGTATCATCATCTCTTTGGTGGTAAAAACGAGGTTGATACGACAAAGTCAGGTTACTGTACTTGGAATGAAGGATAATGGAGACAAATTGAATATACTGAGATAGTGGTTTCCTTGATAATTGTTTACTACTCTTGTAATAGACTTGGGGCTATTTTTCGTAATGGCTTGGGATTTACATATTTAATTCCCTCTTTAGTAGAGGGTGCGAAAGTTTACATAGGAATATAGGATACAGAAAAAAGAAGAAAGAAGAAAGAAGAAAGAAATTGACCACATATGAGAACTTTGTTTTGAATCTTTTTCCTTCTATTTTTGTTTAATCTTAATCGGTCAAGAGCTTCTGCAGGAAGATTCAATCATCAGTTCTTCTATAANAGGGCTATTTTTTGTAATGGCTTGGGATTTACATATTTAATTCCCTCTTTAGTAGAGGGTGCGAAAGTTTACATAGGAGATACAGAAAAAAGAAGAAAGAAGAAAGAAAATGGCCACATATGAGAACTTTGTTTTGAATCTTTATCCTTCTATTTTTGTTTAATCTCAATCGGTCAAGAACTTCTGCAGGAAGATTCAATCATCAGTTCTTCTATAATTAGAAATAATAAAATTGAAGCAGCGTTATTAATATAGGATATTTGTTAACATATAAGTCATTCTTCCGTTTTTTCAAGGTTCCAAGTCTGATATTTAAACAGACTAGGGTAGAAATCATAATGGATAAAGAGAACTCACATAGCTGAGACCAACTAATCTGAGATTGAACTACAGTTGAATGATTGACTTGGAGAAATATGCTTAGGGAGTTCCAATGCCATGAATTTTCGGCTCCGTTGCTATGTAGGATAAGCTTAACCATAGTGATATTATTTATGTTAGTGGCTATTACATGTAAGAAAGTAAATTTTGTATTTTCAAGGTGATTTTCCCATCTACACTGCTTGGAACTGGTGAAAACTGGACTCTTATGAAGACTATCAGTGTAACAGAATACTTGAACTATGAAGCAGGTTAGTTGGAATTTGGAAATAAGGCCGTGAAAATTGTCCATATGTTCTTGCTGCTTGGAACGTAATATACTGGAAACACCAGTTCATACTGCAGAGTTAGTGCTTTTCTCATTTGAATTTTTGCTTGTGTCTCTTGGTTGTCATAATCAGGCAAGTTCTCGAAGAGTAAGGGCGTAGGAGTATTCGGAAATGATGCAAAAGATACAAACATTCCTGTAGAAGTATGGAGATATTACTTGCTGACAAACAGG